CGGAATGCGGGGAGAGGGTGCTGCGGTCCCGGGGGAGCCTCCGCCACAGAGACCCGGCGGCGGGCGCGGTGCGTTGTTCTGGGGCCGTGCTTAACCCAGGTTTCCCTGTTGCCAGGAGCTGGAGGAGCCCAGGGAGCGCTCTGGAGTGGAAGCGGCTGCACACAGCTCCTGGCGGAGGTGGACGTGGGCCGCGTTGCCCCATCTCCCTTCCGGCGGAAGCGAGGGCGTCACGACGGCGGAGCGAGGTGGAGGAGCTCAGTGCTCGTTTTTTCACTCGTTGCTCTGTTCCCTTATTCCTGCACGCTTGTTTTACTCAGGAGCGCCCATTTTGAAAAGAAAAAATGTAATCTCTGAGCTGTGAACATGTTCCGTGTTTTTTTTTTTTCTCGTACATGTCGCTGATTTTGTTTGTCAAAGGTCATAGGAACATATCTAATTGAAAGCTTTTAAAAGCGATGACCCAGAGCTCATTTTTTTTAAGCAATCACAAACTTCTATTCTAACTCAGTCACATGTAAGAATTCTTGTGGTCATTTCCCTTTTTTTAGGTGTGTTCAGTTTTTATTGTTACCACTGAGATGGTAAGCAAAAGGGATTAGATAACTGCATGAATGACAGTTTCATAAAGGACTAATAGGTTAAGTTGCCACATCTGTATTCTTACATCCCAGATGCAACCATTCTGGGTGCTTGGGAGCTGAGGAGAATGCTAGACCTCCCCAGTTTCCACTGTTAGAGGCTTGACCTGTCATCAGGCTTGACCTCATGTCTTCACTGCTATTCTGGACTTGATCAGTCAGAGCAAGGAAAATTACACTTTTGCAGCCCCTGTTCAGTTTTACTCATCCCTGAAGGCATTCTCCAGGTGACACAAAAGACCCCTCTGAACTTTTGGAGGCCTGTAGGGGATTGTCTTCCTTCTCTGAAAGCATAAATTACTAAAAACTGCAAGTTTCTGTCATACCTTCCAAATACAGAAAAACACAAAAGCATGGACTAAAGACTGAAAAGACACTTCTAAAACTCCTAAATAAATTCAGGAACTTGTTTCATGTTGTGATTCAGTTTTTGCTTTTCCTCCCATGTCAGAGGGGGCAGTGCAGCTGTGCAACAATGAAAATGGAGTGTCCTTCAACCTGTGATGCTGGGGATGGATTGTTGTTTGGTTTGGCTGTTTTTTTACATCTGTAAAATCTCCAGCTGCTTTTGTTCACCTTTAGAAGGGTCTGTT